CCCCAAAACCCCAAAACCCCAAAACCCCAAAACCCCGGATTGATGATAATTTATTGAATTAAAAATATAAGGTAAGCATGGGTGGCCACTCTGACTTTGTATTCCTCGTTGTGACTGAAGAGTTATTAATGAATATTATATCAACTGTGGACAAGAGAGGAAGAAGCTTTACAAAAAGGAGGGAAAGATATGATTTATCCCCTTAATTTACCATTTAGAAGTTCATAGTTTAATGGACTTATTAAAACTTCTAATATTTCTACTATCTAACTTCTCTGTAGGGACTTTTGTGGGAGAATTGGTGAAGCGAGAAGAGAGTTAGGATAAATCATAGAAACTAGTTAGGATAAGGCCTGGATATAAAAATTAATGATAACTGAAGTATTATAGCAATTAAGATAAACAATGTTGCTGATATATTATGATTATTTTACACAAATATTCTTCCCTCTATTGCACCATCCTTATGAAATACTAAAATTTCATTGCAGTTCTTTTTATCATGAAGGATGTTTGTATATTTCCAGCGTAAAACTCTTTGATAAAAATTATAAATTGTGAGAGAAGGTAAAAATACGGGGAACCCAATAGTGTCTAAAGGCTGATATTCTATTGACCCATATAACTCATTAACCTCGTTTATTGCTAACACTAAGTTGGTTGTTAGCATCCTTAAATTTTGATAACATTACGACTTTTTATAATTAACTGTATATCTGGGAGGTCACCACTCGACTTTATAATAGAGTAATTTTTACCCAAAAAATCACCAATTAGCAAGATAGTACCATTAAAATTAAGAAGTGTATGCTTCAGCCCTCTTTCTCACTTTTTACTTCCCAAAGCCTTGAGTAAATAATAAACTTGATCGAAATTTCTTCAATTTTGGGCAAAAATTAGCAAGTTGGTTGTAAAACAAAGAGCTAAGAGCCAAAATCTTCATTAGAAGATTACTTGGCTGATTTCTGAAAGTCTATTTGAGCATTAAAACCTTATTTGTCACTATTATTAAAATTACTCAGGGTTGTATATTTTTGTTCAAAGAAATAATATTGGTCCTAGGTTAAATTAACCAATTTATAAGAATATGTCTTTTACAATTTTTTAATAAAAAATACTTTTAAATAATCATAACACTATCTAAAATAAGGCTTGACTGCAAATTTTTTGCTTTGCTCTGTATCACTATTCTAAAAATTCATAAATTCTCTTCTGTAGCCATAACAATCAAGACATTTGCCAAAATAATATTAAAGCAGACGTCTTCTATATTTCTAAGAAATTGGCACCATTTAATTTAAGCCATTTCCTAAATTAATTCATAAATATTTAGCCTGAAATATTGTTTCATTTCGAATTTTACAGTATTGGTCGTCATACAAAGTTTAAACATTACAGGTTGATTATGTTTGTTGTAATCCTGAAAATATTAATTTTTAAGCTAAATCTCTGGGCTTATTCCAGAAAATTCTCTGATTTTCTTGGCTTTGATTCAAATTATTAGTTGAAGAAAGTGTTTTTAGCCTCGCGATGGTCTATAGTATTCGTATTTGATTCTCTTGACATCGCATTATTTTTTTAAATCTCCTAAAGCTATACTCTCTTTGAGTGAGGTCTTGGGAGGTAAAAGTTGTGAACTTTTGACTATACTTAAAATTTGATCACCAACTATTGATAATTCTCCAACTCCTTACCCAATATTAAAGAAATTTTATTGAGTATAGTAATAATTTAATCTAAATTTCATTTAGGAGCAATGAACAAAGGAAAATTTGAGGTAAGTTTTGACACAATAGAGTCATTAAATTTTCTTCGATTAGTCATTACCATTTACTACAAATGATGTGAAAATTGGGTTTGACTAAAACTTTGGTATAGCTCAAGCAAATGTTTTCTTGGTCTAAAAATTACAACAACGGACCATGGACAAACGAGGAGCATGCCCAGTTTATACAATGTAAAATAAGTGCTCATATGTAGGTATTAAAGCACATGGGGTAGAGTGGACGATGCCCAAATAAATCGGTAATTTGTGTCTAAAGGCTAATTTTAATGACCTTGAGTATAGATTCCTACTCGTACTCGAACTCAGATAAAATCCCACTTGCGGAGATATTTTAGCCAGATCAAAAAGCATTTTGATCTTGAAGACCCAATGGAGTACATTAAGAATAACAACTGTGACAATTTAAGGTTCTACAAGAATGCAGTGCTTAGAGAGAAAAGCAAAGAATCAAGAAGTAGCTCTTCTGCTATAGATAATGGAGGAAGAAACTCAAGAAATAGAATAAATTCTATACCAGACTCAAAAATAGGTGGAGATACTATTTCTAACTCTGCTTCTAAATTTCAGGGGAAAAATCTGTTCAAAAAGAGGGATCTGAAATATTCTGAGAAGTCATTCAAAAGTTCTAAATATCCTTTGATGGAAAAGGATCAAACTTACAAGAAAGTATTTGCTATTGAGAGAATCAAAATGCCGAAGATTGGGTCAAAAGAGAAGAATTGCAATACACAAAGGTAGAAATTTTCTACCTAGTCTTTTGAAGTATATTTTTAGACTTGATTTCCAAATTAATTTAAATCAATATTAATTCGATTTTTAGGGGTACTGTAAAGTTTAGAGAGTGCTAACCTAGCCCTTCATTTAGCTTGTTACTGATTCTATATCTAAAAATTTTGATAATCCATAATTTTATTTATCCAGTATCATAAATATTAGTTGAGTTTGTTAGAGAATCAAGGATGCCAAAATTACTAATTCTTTATATATTTTCTAGATTATTTTTGAATTTTATCTTATCTTGTGTATAGGCATAATCAAGAATTCTTCAGAGAATTTCCAAGACAGAATATCTCAAGCTATTTCATACCTAACATCACAGAGAAACAAGATACGGACAAAATCTGAATAAAGGAGAGCAATATAGGAATCTCTATATCTAGAGCAAATATCGACTCTAAAATTCCGTGCAAGATTGCAAAGACCAAAGATGGACATATCATGATCGATCCACAACAGAGTATCAAAGTAGAAATAGTTCCAACTGTGAATAGTGGCACTTGAGATTTGCTTCCAGAGAAATATTGCCACTCACAAAATAATACTAGTGCTATTGGATTTACGCAGCCTCTTACTGAGAACACTCAAAATATTTAGAAAATGAACAACGAGTTCTCTAATCAGAGTAATGATTACTCAGTTATCACAAAAGCAATAGAGATATTAAGCCCATACTTTTGCTTTTGTCAATAATATTAGTAAGAATAATATCTCCATTTAACCATCTTGCTTGTGTCTGACTTAGCCATTCCAACCAATTATCAGAAAAATGCGCGCAAAGTTTTAGAATTAGCACACCTTTTTCTCTCTAAGCCAATTAAAACAGGCGTTATTTTTTCTAAAATTCTGGCTACTGTCAAGTTCTAAATCCTGAATTTGCAACTTAGGAAGAAACTTGATTGTTTAGTCAAGATATCATTTATTAAAAGCCTGTTTTTAATAAAAACTCAATTTCGTTGACTAAAAGGGGAGAGTTGACAACCACTATACAGGAAAATTGAGGATTTTAAGGGCAAATACAACCTCAGTATGTTAAGTTTAATGAAATCAATCTGAGAGCAATAGCTCGGGGTTTTGGGGTTTTGGGGTTTTGGGGTTTTGGGG